GCTGCGGCCCCGGGCCGGGCGACGCGTTTGCTGCGGCGGCACGTCGCTAACTCTGAGACTGCCTGTCCCGTTCGTTGGGGACCTCGGCCTATGAGCTAAACGTGTCAAGCAGACAAGCTGAAATAGGTCATCTGAGTTCCTACACTGTTTTGCGATCAGCGACGTTGGGGGAGAAAAAAAGTATCTGTGAGCAGAACGAGTAGACTACTGCTCAGAAGTGGTACTGGAGCTTTGACCTAACTGGTAAATCCTTAAATGTCACTTAAAAATCTACAGGTTTTAATTTTTTTTATTATTATTTCCTCCTTTAGAAGAAGAATAGGGGAACTATAAAGCTGTTACTGGATAAAAGTGCAGAACTACTGAAGTCTGGCTTCCTGTTGACTTCTTTGTTGTGTATACTCGTCCCTAAGATAATAACCCAGCTCTTTCACTACCATTGCCCTAGTTCACACTCAGATCCCCTTAGCCTACTGCCATGTGCCAACATCCTTTCTGTCTTTTTCCTTCCAACACCTAGCCAACATGTTTAATTTCTACCATATGTCCTATAAACTTTCCCACTGTCACTCATCTCCTTTCACTTTCCTTAATTATACCCTCTAGCTGGTTTGGATTTACACATGTGTTGATTTGCCTTTCAGCAAGCAAAGCAGAACAGATAACTGTTGAGCTCACACTGGAGACACTGGGTCTTTTCATTTATCTAGCTGCCAGTTTGGGGGAAAACTTGTAGAATTTAATATGTTTGAGATTTCTGTCTTTTTGACAAATGAGGTTGGCATTGAGGTCAAAAGCTCTGTGTCTTAAACAAAAGGCAAAATCTCAATCTCATTTTCTCAGATGATGTTAAAAGTATTAACTAAGCAAAAAATATACAGATAATAAAAGTAAGGGGTAGTTCAACTATCTTAATTTAGATTGAAATTATTTTTACTAGTGTAGTTTAAGTACTATTTGTAGCTCATTACCTTTTTATTATGCTAAATGTTTATGTGCTAAAGTCCAAACACCTTGATATAAACAAGTAGCATTAGATTTTTGCTGCTAAGAAATAGTTAATTTGCTATTTTTCTGTATAAAATACACTGTGACTTTCTTGATAAATATCTTCACAATGAGAAAATCACTCTTTGTTAATAATTTGTTCTTACATTTTGAAAAATTAATCATTATAAAAGCCATAAGTGTATATAATAAAGAATGTTGGCACTCAGGATAAAGCAATTCTGTCTGCTTTGAGAGCATTGTCTAACTCTTAGGTATTAGTGATACAGGTTTTTCCAGTTAAAGACTTATTCTTATGGATGTATTAAAAATATTTTATACTGGGTACCTGTTCTGTTATTAGTAAATATAATTGGAAGAGCATTGACCTGAGCTTGCTCTGTGTGCAGGAACATGTTTTTCTACAGGTGTAGTGGTGCAGTGATCTTTTAGACAATTGGTTTAAACTTTCTTAATGTCTGGAGTACAGTTGCATCACCCACATAATGCACTAGTATGTCAAGAAGCTAATGTGTATCTCATTGATACTAATTCATGAGACAGAAGCTGAGTTTAGATTCAGTTAAGTGAAGTTAGACTGGTCAAGTAACTACAGCTGATACATATGTCTGGTAGTCTTAAAATGTTTCTCAAGCATGTGCTTTCATCAGAATCCTTTTGATAGTCATCCTAAAACTTGATTTAAGGGCTGATTGGGGGAGCGTATTTTGTTCTTGGGTGGCTAGTGTTGTACAATGGGAAGTTTCTGACATATAATCAATTAATACTCACCTAAATTCAACATGTGTGAAAAATATACTCTTCAACAGTATTTTATAACAAAATGGTTCTGATATTTTGTGTGTGTGTGCTTGTAACATTTTGATCATTTTGTGCAGAAAGACTGAATTTGGTTATAATGCAAGCTTTTAGGAGCAGAGAGTAATATGAGTTGAGAACCCTATCCATTATAAATAAATGCCTATGAGAGCACCAACGCATCTGCTTGAGTTAGAGATTTTTCAAAAAGAAAATGGAACTAAGCACTCTCTCCTAGTATTGTACTCTATGAAGACAGCCAAACACTACTCAGCAGAGTTCTACCATACTTACAGAGTGACATACAACCATACTGAGTTGAGACACAATCCATGCTGAGTTTCAGTATATTTGGTTATAATTGGTTCTGATAATGCTTCTAGAATAACCTTAATGACCTCAGAGACAACTGATGTGTTATAAAAGTGCCACTGTTATGAACTGATGCAGATTGCTCAGAGATAGCAACATGGGTAGAGATTGTAAGAGGAGCTGTCATGGTCAGATGCATGCCCCTAAGAAATTCTTCATGAAGTGTGGACAGTTTTCAGGAGTACCCAAGTTTTAATTTCTGGAGTTCTGGCAGTCTGGTTCCTCTGACTGACAGTGACCAGTAAGCTCCTAACTCCTCGCCTCTAAAGTAATCCAGTGTTTTTGGAATTCTTAGCACAGATTGGGTGAAGTCTTTAGTATGAACCTACCGAAGTGTTTAAGATAAATTGTTTCCCCAATTTAGCATATTAATTATACATGATTTTGGGTAAAACACATGCAAACTTGATATGATTCTTTGTTTCCTACATTTGCAATTGTTGTAGCAATGGGATATTTTGATACCCACTGGTTATTGACCTATCTCACTTTTACATCATTCATTCTGTTGCCGTTAGTGGGGAATTGTGATAAGAACTGGTGGTTCGGACAAAGTTTAATGGTTTTAGTGTCAGACCATGTAAACAAAGGTTTAATTTGGGGGATAAATTATTTACACTGTG